AAGACCCGGATGCATCGCCATGCGTCGGTCGAAATGGTGCTGGAGAGCCTGTGACACCGACAAACTCGAGACGAAGAGATACCGTCACCGGGGCGGTGGCGCGAACAAACTCGGGAGTTGCTTGTGGCTCGGTACAAGAGGATGTGAACATCATGAAGGACGAGGACAATCCAGATGAGTACGAGAGCATGGACTCGGAGTCGGATGGCTGTGGATCAGATGACGATGGTGATGTTGTGTTCAGACAAGTTGATGATGACTTGTCATCCGATGAAGAAGAGGCGCCTCTTATGGATGCAGCGTTTATTGATTGCTTGGGTGGTTCTCTATCTATCGAAGACATGAGCCCAGACACACTACGTTCCATGGCATGGACCCCTGTATCCTCCGAGTACGAAACCGACAGCAACGCGTTCAAGGGTGTGAGGGATCAAGCGACTAGACCAGTGGAAGCGCTCCGTGCTAAAAAGGACTCGCCATTGGAATTGCTATTCTATTTTATGCCGATGAACCTGTGGACATTCATCACGAGCGAGACAAACCGATACAAAAGGTCACACATCGAGGAAAAGGCGCGTCAAGAACGCGCACGGCTTATTCGTGAAGGGCGCAGCGTACCAGGCCAATCGCTAAGGGATGTTCGCCGCCGCATACGAGTCGAACCTGATTACGTACCGCGCGAAGTTCTTTGTGTCATGGGTTTACTTGTAGCTCATATGCTCAGTCCCACCCGTCCGTTTTCAGATCATTGGGCAATGGCTGATGATGGCGCGCTTTCGGCGGGGCAGTTTGGCAATTTTATTCCTCGAAATCGCTGTACTTCAATCCTACGAGACCTACATTTCTGCAACAATGACACAGCAAACAAGAGGGACAAGTTGTGGAAGCTGCGAGCTGTAGTTGACGTTCTTCAAAGGAATTTCCTAGCTGCATGGTCAGTGGCTAACATCATCTCATTCGATGAAGGCGTGCTTCCAGCAACGTCCAAGCGCAACGGGACCCGAATGTTTATGCCGGACAAGCCGCATCGCTATGGCACCAAGATGTTCATGACGTGCGACGCAGTGTCTGCTTACTGCCACAGGTGCGTTGTTTGTTTATAACTTTTGCAAAGTCGTAAGTTGCGACTTGATGGTCT